TTACTAAACAAATCCAACTTCACGAAAAGCGATGAAAAGCAGCAGCCCGACCAAGCAAGCCAGTGACAGGCCCCTATAAAAACAACAACTACACAAAAAAGAACGCGGCAGCCACACGCAACAAGCAAACTAGAAGCTCTCGGGAAAAATCCCACTTCACAAAAAGCAGCAGGCCGACCAAGCAGGCCAGTGACAGGCCCTGAACAAAATCCAACTGCACCAAAAAAGTGGCACTCAAGCACAACAAGCAAATTCGAAGCCCTACAACAAATCCCACTTTGCTGCTAAAATCACCAGCCCGACCGAGCAGGCCAGTGCCAGGCCCTGAAACAAATCCAACTTCACCAAAACACGGCAGCCACAGACAGCAAGCAAAAAACAACAATCTCTATACTGAAAGAAATCACGAAAAGCAGCAGGCCGACCAAGCAAGCCAGTGACAGGCCTTGAAAAGAACCAACTGCACAACAACCAACAAAAACGGCAGCCACACAGAACAAGCAAACTAGAAGCCCTTCGGAAAAATATTGCTTCACGAAAAGCAGCAGCCGGACCAAGCAGGCCAGCGACAGGCCCTGAAGAAAAGCAACTGCGCCAAGAAAGCGACATCCACACAGCCCTACCACAAACATCCCACTTCAAGAGAATCAGCAGCCCGACCAAGCAGGCCAGTGACAGGCCTAGAAAAAATCCAACTGCACAAAAAGCATGGCAGCCACACACAGCAAACAAAATAGAATCTCTACTCCCAGACGCTCCCAACTCATGTTTCGGGCCCTTGGGCCCTCGCGGGCCCTCGCGGTCGTAGGAGGTTTCGGGCTGGTTTTTTGTTGGGGGCCTTTGGGCTGCAAACAAGCTTCGGATTACCATCGGAGAACCGTCGGATAACCGTCGGATGGCCGTCGGATAGCCGTCGGATAACCGTCGGATGGCCGTCGGATAGCCGTCGGATAACCGTCGGATAATTGGGCCGGGGCCCCCAAAACTGAGTGTCTACGAGGGCCCGGCGTCGGATAACCGTCGGATCACCGTCGGATAGTAATGCTAGGGGAGGTGTGATTCGAGGCTATTTTGGTTCCATCCATCCCGTCCGGATTGCACTGGGGGCCCACGAGGGCCCCGTATCCGACAAACAGGCCGGTCCCTCCCTAGGAGGGCCCCGGACCCTCCCTAGGAGGGCCCACGAGCCTCTGGGTAGGGATTAAGGATTGGGACAACCCGCCGTGTTGAACACAGAGCTAGTAGACTTAACCATATTACCATGTTCTACAAATATGTGTGAAGAAGCCTGATCCAATCGATTTCACGACCACTTCTTCTGGATCTGGAATTTCCCACGTGTGGAGCCGTTTGACTGCTTGGCGTGCTGGGGAAAACGGTGCCATTGGGAGCCCAGTGTCCGAAACCAACGCTCCCGAGACTTCCTTACATCACCCCACCACAAGGAACGCGCGCTTTACTTGCCGTCCGGTTCCTTAGCTATTCCATTTAATCCACTCAAAGTTAAACGTTTAAGCAGGGGCCCAGACATTGAAAAACGGGGGAAAAAGATGTAAATATTCATGGACAAAGCGATGGCTGAAACCCTACGAAGTATCGGGGTAGAGCAGCTACCAGCTGGGACTTGGTCCATCCACAAGCCTACAGAGCTTTTTCAGCCGGTTTTAACATGAGCTGTTGGACCAGTTTAGGCGAACTTCACCGTGGTAGGGCACCGATGTTTCAGGGGCAAATGTAATGTAGGAAACCCGTTTCTACCAGTTGTTTTTTGTGGACACACAGCCTAAATCTTAGGTGCCTGAGACTTTTAGAGCACGAAGGAGCTGTTAAATGTGGATAATTGGATAATTCCCCCAAGTCAAGCGGCACCTGTTCCTGCCTGTTCCTTCTAAGAAGCATGTTTCAGCGCACCGCCCCGCCCAAACCCCAGTAGGTGGTGCGGTGTTCCGTTTCTGCCTTCGCAATGACCATGTTGATTCGAACCGTGCAACTCATGGGACAAATGGCACGTTTTCATGCGCCTGGCTGTCACTGTGCCATGGTCAAACCACCCTCTCACCGGAGGTAGGGGTGTGATGATTTTTCGTGCGGGGCTGCTATATTGCAAATGCATTTGCATTTGCCTGATGCCACATTTTGTCTCGCCTCTCGCAAGTCATGGAAGCAGACAGCACGTTGTGGGAAGACTCTGTTCGCTTTAGGGAACCCCTCTCTCCAGTTCAAAACAAAATAAAGTTCATGTCCATCCTTGCACAATCAAACGTGGAAGTTCACACATCACTTGTTCAAAAAGAAAATCCGCCAATAGTGGTTTGTGCACCAAACCGTGTTTGCCCTAAAGTTGAATTGGGCAAAGTACTCAACGAACTCTGGAGCAAAGCAAGCTTATTGCCAGTTTGGGAATTTCAGCCATTTGCGCCTGGCAACCAACGGGAGTGTGTGTGTGTGATGTTTTTCCAGATTCCCTACTCATCCACTAACATGTAACCCGCCAGAAGGTTTCGTTTAGAGGAACATGTTTTCTCAGGACCTGGTTGTTGTGCGGGTATTTCGCCTGCCTTTCTCTCACATGTTGATCAAGGGTTTTGACCTTATCGTTCCTTTGTTCTTTTCTCAGTTTAGCTTGCGCCTTCCCGAAGCTATTCCTTTTTGGGCCCCTTTTCAAGAGTACTTCTTTGGTGATTCTTTGGATATGGTGCATCCGCCTCGCCGAGCCGTTTGATATCGTTTCCCTTGTCTTTTTCTTCGTCACTGCTTTAGAGAAGTTAAAGTTCCAACGTCCTAAATAGCCACAGAAAGTCCGAATTTCCCAAACCAGAAACCGACAGCTGATGCTGTTTGTTTAATTCTCAAGGCCCCGTGTTTAACAACCAGCCAAAACTTGCATCATTATTGCGAAGACAAACGGCACAATTTGCCACATGGGGTGCGGAGAGGATTTTAACCTCAAGAAGCACCTGCACAGTTGGCCGCTTCGAAAATCACGGATGCATACTTCATAGGTCGTTTTTGTTTCGTGTGTACTGAGTGGCAAATCCAGAGTCAGGCAAATGAGAGCCTCCAATTCCCGTCGAATGGCACGCAGGGTTGAGCATGTTTCAGCCTGGCGATCTTGGCTGGGTCATCGTCGCCTCCAAAACGAGCTCCTGTTTTTCTACCGTAGGTGTTACAAGCAGACCTGACCTTTCAGGGAAACCGAAAGGAGGTGTTTGAAGCAATAGTGCGACGTGTTTTGCATCTTTGAGCAAGGCAGCCCAACCCAGGCATGCGCTGAATGCGCTGAACATGCGCTACCCGTTTCCAAGGCGACCTGTGTGCGTTTGTGCAAGTCTTCACTTCGTGTGTCCTTTGACCTCCAAGGGTGTCCTTCCGACGGAAATCCCCCGGTATTCTCGGGGTTGGGTTACTTCGGGCTGTGGGTTCCATTGCCATCAGGCCCACCTCGCAGGTTTCACGGAGGGCAATGAACCATTGAGCGCCCGTTGTGTTTGCATCTTACATCCCGAATGACTAAAATATGTTGTTTGACATTACGAAAACATGTCCTTCTTATCGGAACTGAATTTTCTATCGTGAACGGGCTGGACTCCCAAGAGCACACACATTTAGGGGGGCTAACCTATTTTATGGTTGTTGGCTTCTTTGTTCCCTAAATATGTAACATTGCACACTACCCAGTAAATCGTTTGTTTGGCACCCGGAACATTTGAACATCAGATTCTGTCTCTGTACGTAAACTTGGCATATTTGGACCCCAGGGCCTTCGGTTGCCTCTTTTCTTTTTCTTTTTGTAGGGAACATGGCCCTGAAACATGTCATCACCCGGGCAACCACTGCTTTTTTGTTTTTGTACCAAGGGGATGTTGAAAGCAGGTGCTGGTCCAAAAATGGGTCACCTTTCTTGAAGGAAATGCAAAGACTGGTCCTCTCTCTTGAGGATGAGAAGGGCCCACCCACACTTCAGCCACAACAACAGTTAAGTTGATAACCTTCGGTTTTATCCATGTGCTTTCGGCGTTTTGGGAATGACTATCCTGCTAGAAATAAGTTTGAACTTTTGCCAGGAGGAAGCAGAACCCGTGTTCAATTTTAGCGCGGGACCCGCACTTTTTGTTGGCGAATCCACTCGTTCGGCGAAGGGATACGGGCGCAGACAGTCGGCCTTTGATGCCAGGTTTCACTCATGGATTTGGCCGAGCTTGCTTCTCCGTGGGCATCCTAGTATCCAACCATTCTTTCCAAGTCGCAGGAAGCAGGAAACGTTTGGTTGAACAGACTGGGGAAGCAACAAATCCCGGTTTGGCATTGGAAACGGCTGGTTGAATCGAGCCAAGAAAAGGTTGGAGTGGGAGTCAACCCGTGCAAGAGCTGGCAGCTTGTGTCACCGGCAGCACTTCCCGAGTGTCGAACTTTCGCCACTTGCATGGGAAGACAACGAAAGCGGAGCTTACGAGGGATTTCCCCTTCCAGGTCTTAGGTGTCCTTCCAGTTGGGCCCAGAGAAACTAGGTGGTTCTCAGCCATCCCAGAAAAGCTTTTTAGCCGCCTTTTAGTGTTTAGTGGGATTATCCATTTAACCCACCAGAAGTTAAGCTTTTAGCGGGGGATCTGAGGACAGCTCAGAAAAGATTCCACTGAGATGTTCCAAGGCAAACCACTATAGTAGGGAACCAACTATCCCTTTTGTACCTATACAAGGCAGGCGGATCCACCGGGAACAGGACACCTAAGCTCCTTGGGATCCCTTATCTTCCTGTTGGAGATGTGATCCAAGGCTCCCAGAAGGAGCCCCCACGGATCCCTTAAGGCCTTGAGCTCCTGAAAAGGCCGAGGAGGTCCGGGAGGTTGCGTCACCTTTTGCGTCCTAGCCTGCTTCTAGCAGAGGCGTCTGAAAAATAATCTCAGACGCGCTCATCGATTATAGTGATCAAGCCACACAAGGTGTGAACTTCACAGTTTCCGTTCGAAGCATGAGCCTTTTGCAAACCAAGGCTCGGGCCCATGGATGTCTTAAAGACCCTACGTCCAGATAGATCCGATGTTCTGGGGGTCAAAACTAGAAACTTCAGATTTGAACCTGTCGGAAGTGAGGTTCTGACACCATGGGCCCTGTTCCGGAATGATCGGACGAAGTCCCGGATGAAGTCCGAGATATTCAATGCGGAACGAAGCGACAGGAGCACATCCCCTGCGTCTCTCAATGTGGCTGCATTTCGGAGGTTTCCTAAAATGATGTTGGAGTTTCGCTAGTTTTGAGAATCTCACTTTAAGCTGTTCCTACATGTCTCATCCCAAGAGGCTTCCATTGCAAGCCGGCCCTCTTTGCAGCCATAGGTCTGGCTCGCCTTCCTGCGAACAGATTGAACATCAACTAGGTCCCCCAGCTAGGTGCCAACTTTTACCGTTTCTTTTTTTGGGGAGGGTTTACTAAAATAGACCACAGAAAATTTGGTTCTAACCTCTCTACTGGAGGACCTAGTCAAACCCCTCCTTGTTTTTTTTTTTTTTTTTTTTTTTTTTTTTTTTTTTTTTTTTTTTTTTTTTCGAGTACCGCGCGCTTGAAAAGAAGCATTTCTTGGAACCCACTTGCATATTTCTTCATTTAGGGGTGTCTTTGTTGCTTGATTTTGTTAGATTTGGCCTGGCTTAGATTTCTGAGGAGGTTTTTTCAGATTCGTGGGGAATTCCAGATTCTCTCAGATGGGGTCTTTTAGATTCTCGTGGAATGCCAGTGAGCAGAAAAAGAATGGTGACCGAACACCAATTGTAGGTAACACACATGACATGTGTGTGTGTGTGAACCTTAACGGGTCCCGGACCCTTTGGTGGACATTATTTAGCTTGGTGGCTCCCAGCCATCCCCTTAGCTTTTTACGCTTTTAGTGTTTAGTGGTAGTTTCCATTTACCCCACCAAAAGTCAAACTTTTAGCGGGGGATCTGAGGGCAGCCCAGGTAACACACATGTGTGTGTGTGTGTGAACCTTACTGTAATGGGTCCCGGACCCTGTTGTGGACATCATTTAGCTTGGTGGCTCCCAGCAATCCCCTTAGCTTTTAACGCTTTTAGTGTTTAGCTGTAGTTTTCATTTAACCCACTAAAAGTCAAACTTTTAGCAGGGGATCTGAGGGCAGCCCAGGTAACACACATGTGTGTGTGATCCTTCATGCGTCCCGGACCCTTCGGTGGACATCATTTAGCTTGGTGGCTCCCAGCCATCCCCTTAGCTTTTTACGCTTTTAGTGTTTAGTGGTAGTTTCCATTTACCCCACCAAAAGTCAAACTTTTAGCGGGGGATCTGAGGGCAGCCCAGGTAACACACATGTGTGTGTGAACCTTAATGAGTCCCGGACCCTGTGGTGGACATCAGAATTTGGTGGGGATGAGTTTGTCCAATCACTTTTGAGGTGGCTCTGAAAATTCATAGCCGCATGTGTGTTGCTACACGGGGGCTCCATCGCTTCGACTTAGTATCCCGTGTGCAAAGCCTCGGGTGTTCCTGGATGGTCGTTCCTGCTGAAAATGCCGAGCTCGAGACTTGCGGCTATGGAGCAAAGATTTAGGTGGGGGAACTACGTAATTGGGCACATTGCAATCTCCAAGCCATCTTTTTGTTCAGTGGCGCTGTCTATCCCTGTATGAGCCACAATGAAAACCCGGGTAGACGGGTAGATGAAGGTTAGTAAGCCATAAATGGCTGCGGCCGCCTTGGAAATTCTTTACATGGGTCTGGGTCCATTTTAATACCGGGTTTTGATTGTGACTCATATGGTTTGGCGGGTTCCCATGCTCCAACAGTCCTCTCCCACCTTTCAGGTGAGCGCGAAAGAATTCCACCGGTTTCTTCCCATGACCCAAAAGAATGTCAGATTCCCTATTGGAGGGTACCTGTCCAAGCTCAGGGGTGGCTTAACAGTATCAACGAAACCGTGTCAAGGGTAATGCATAATAACGCAAGCTGACGCAGGTTGCAGCATGTTGCGTCGCACAAGCGGAGCTGGTCGCAACATGCCGCATCAATTGAAGTGTCGGAGTAAAGCACGTTTGTGCAAAGGCAGGCGCGTTGCATCAACCTGTTGCTTTTGGCCCAAAATTGCTGCAAACTGTTTTTTGGCATCGTATCGTTCGCCACCCTCTACAAAGCGCCAGACCAAGATCTCAGTCACTCAAGCTTCATGGGGCATTAGGGGTGAGGAGAGAGAGGGGGGGATGGGGGGGGGAGCCCAAAGCCCTAAGCCCGTCATAAGGCCTTAGCACTTGCCTAAATCAAAGGGTTGGGTTACAGGAAATTCTGGAGGAAAACAGCTGATTTAGGGTGTTTTGGGGCCGTTTCCTGATTTTCCTGTAACCAAACCCTAAAGGCCCAAAGGCCGAACAGAGGGCTTCTTTGGGGTCCCCCTCCCCCTCCCCCCCCTCCCCCCCAGCGCAAAAGTTGCCAAAGCGCGAGGAGTTGGCGGCCACCGAGCAGCAGCTTGCGAAGCTGAAGAGCGAGTTGGAGGCGCATGCCGTAGTGGGAGGGATATGGCTGCGGGTCAAAACCGTTTTGGGATCGCATTTTGGATGGTAGGTGAATTCACCACCCATTTTAGAACCTATTTTAGTGGTTGGATTGGGATGTTCACTCGGGGTACAGGATGTTGATGGATGGTTGCGAATCCAAATCCATTTTGCACCACCTCAGAGATTCTGGGGTTCCGGATGATTGGCCTGCAAATACCAACAAACGTTATGGTTTCAGCCATGGTTTCAGCCATGGTTTCCAAGTGGTGCAGGATTTTGTCCATCCACAGTATGTCAGTTACTTCCCGAGATTTGGACTGAGCTGGCAAGCTTTTGAATTTGATATGCAGACGATGTCTGTTTGTTTTTTTGTTGGGGGGGGGGCAATGATTGAGATATGCAAAAGATGTGTTTTTGATATTTGTTTGACGACTTCCCGGGTTCCGGGACTCGGACTTTAAAACCACTTTTTGGGGTTGGACCATTTTGATATTTCTCGACATGAGACATTGGACGGCCACTGATGAGTGACGAAATGTGACGAATGAGAAGAATAATCTCTGGGTAACATGGAATGGCCCGGCGAGGAATCCAACTGGTGGTCTCACATCCCAAATTGTACTGTAAAATCATGGTAATCCTTGGTTTTGGATTGGTGGTTTGGGGATTTGAACTGTGGGTTCTTGTAGAGCGTAGATGGGAAGCCACCCCTCAACCTCCAAACCACCAAGTCAAGCCATGAGAAGGAAGCTGGGAATTCCTCCCAACGCCTGCCAGAAAGCTTCGGTTCTCACAACGCTTCGCCTTTCCAGACGGACCGTTTCTGGAAGGATTTCTGAGCTCGCCTTGGCTTTCTTTCATGGGGACCCCCGATGAATGAACATCGAACCCAAAAGTGGGGAACCTCCCAACGGGAACTCCTTCAAATGGTTCAAGTTTGGGTTCCACGATCTGTTCCGCGTTCATCTGGGGACAACGCAAGTTGGCTGCCAAACAAACCTGGTTCGAATTTCTTGGGTTGGTCAAGGATGAGGCCTTTCATTCTTGGATGGTTTCCACCTGGCACTCTGCCCAAGAAAAAACTCGGGCTTCATATTGTAAACCTTGAGTCCGTGGAATCCGGAAGTCCCAGACTTGAAGGAAGGGGGCTTCCTTCGGTCCATGCTTAGAGGAATGGTTGTTCCGCTGTGCTGGAGCCGATTTGGCGTGTCTGCCTGTTTGGTTGTCCTTCAGGCTGTTTCTCTAGGAGAGGTTTTTGGGGGTGTCTCAAAGTTAGGAGACACCAAAAACAAGATACCACACCACCCCCAAAGCTTCACCAATCCAAACCACTTCAACGGAAGCTTTTCCTCCTCTTTTCCCGGACTTTATAGGTGGGAAGACCATTCTAGTGGTAAACCCAAAACCGTCAATCCACCCAGGTGAATTCAAGTTGGCCAGGCCAAAGACCAGGAAGTGGAAGTCATTAAGGCCCAGATGCTCGCTTCCGGAGGCGGAGACTCGATCGATTGCCGGTCAGTGGGGTCAGATGGGTGTAGCTCAGAAAGGGAATCACAAGGACCCATCAGGATCTACACTTTGGCGCATGTTGCCAACGGATGTTAGGACTTTCACTTTTTGCCAACTAATGGGTTTTCCATTGAACCACTAAAAGTTAAAAGTGCAGGGGAGCAGAAAGCAGCCGAGTACAGGAAGTTGGATCCAAAACCTTTCAGAGAATGGAGCTGATTTTCAAACCAAGCCAAAAAGGTGTACCCCAAAAAAATACACCCATGTCCACCAGTCCAAAAGGAGTTTCGGGGCTGTTGGGGATACCACCTGTTCTTGTTTTTTCTTTCGGAGGCCACCCTTAGGGTTGCAAAAGGAAACCAAGGGAAGCGATCGGGGTCACCTCAATGCCTTGAACGGGGGGCTTGCCCCCAACCAAATTAGATTGCTTCTCCTGGAGTTTCCGGAAAAACGGGTACCGTCACAAGAATGGCATGCATCTGAGTTGTCTTCCGAAACGGCCGGCGGATATAGATCTTTCAATCGTCTCCACGTATTTGTGTCCGCGCACGTATGGCCAAGCGGTTTGTAATCCTGAAGCCCAGAACTTTTCAGTTCAGCTCTTTTGTGACTAGGATTACCAACTATTTAGCCAAACCTTCAGAGCATCCAAGCAGTAGGAGGTGTTCTTCCCATGTAGAAGGTTCACTCTTACAGCACGTGCTCTGGAAGCTAAAATCTGCAGAGACGTCTCAGCATTAGCTGTTACACGCGGCAACAATGGGAGGTCCTTAGTTCTTAGGACCCAGGAACCTGATTGACCTTGTTCGTTGGGTGAATGAGACCTTTTCCATTCCCCGCCCGAGGGACACGAGGCACCCCGTTTTCCCCCGGATCCTGAGCCCCGGAGCTTGAGCAGGCAGCCTAGCAGCGCAAGCGGAGCGCATCACCGCAGGAGCGGGTCAGCGGGTCAGCGGGTCAGCGCGCAACAGGTCGGTGAAGCGGGTGAATTTTATATTTTTGATCTTGGGTGATCAAAGTCAGAACTTAGAACTCACTTCCCGAGTTCCTGGAAAATTGTACTGCTTGACAAGCGGAAAATGTGGTTTTACGCTCCCTCAGACTAACATGGAAGCTGCCAGAAGGCCTCTGTAAAAGAAGCCAAGTCTTTCAAAGGGGTCCGAGAGCTTCCATGTTAGTTTGAGGGAGCATAGAGTCCGCTTAAAGTGACAAAGTACTGTATCATGGCCCCATTCATGTTCGACTGGCGGGAGGGGCTGTTGGAAGAACCATGCGTCTTGTCTCACCAAACTACTACGTCCCAAACACACTACCTGCTCTTTTGGTCTAGTCTTCCCAGGGGTGTGTTGGTGTTTTGTCCCGCAAATCCAAAGCCGATGGGCTGTTCAAACACCTAAACCCTTGGCGAATCATCAGGATTGTTGGTCCAAAGCCCAAGGCCAAAACAAGGAGGTTGACCAGGGTCCTTGGGTTAGTCTTCTATTTGCTTGAATATTTTACTTAGTTGTCCAAAGCCGACCTTTGGACCTTTTGGTTTTCCCGTTTTGATCCATTTTTAGCCATGGCCCCAAAAGGTTAGCCTTTTGTTTCCAGGTCCTTTGGGCAACTGAGTATAGCCTTCCACGAAGTAGATACTAACACTTTGAGGAGCAATCAACCAATTGCCTAGGTGTTCACCGCGAAATCTGAGCACTCTGAGCTCCGGCGTTTGGACTCGGCCGAGATCGATGACCGAGTCCAGGTCTTGGGGAAAAAAAGATTCCCCTTGTAAAACCACAAGGGATGGTTTATAGGGGAATGTCCGTTTCTCATTTTCTGCTGAGCACTAGCAAGTAAACTTTTGCTTGGATGTTAGGACTTTAACTTTTTGCCACTAATGGGTCTTTTCATTAAACCACTAAAAGTTAAACTTTTAGCAGGGGAGCAGAAAGCAACCGAGTGAACCTTCAAGGCCAAAGGGGCTTGACTTGGACGTTTCCGGGGCCCGGCAGGAAACTTTGACGCTGCGAAGGCCCACGGCGAAGAGGCGAGATTTTGTACCTATTGCGGGTTTAGGGGCCAGGTTCTCCCTCGGTAAATGTGGGGTAAATGCTTGGTGGCTCCCAGCCATCCGGTTCCTTAGCTTTTTAGCTGTTTGGTGTTTAGTGTTTAGTGGTAGGTTCCATTTACCTCGCTAAAAGTTAAGCTTTTAGCGGGGGATCTGAGGATTGATTGTTTCGATATTCTGCCCTATGGGTTTGGGTTTCGCGCCGATCGGGCTAGAAGATGTTCCTTAAGGGATCCCTTCTTCCAGGTGTGACTGACTTCACTGTTGGCACGTTTTTTTGTTGCTTTCTTTTCGGGCGGGTTTTGTTCATTGTTAGAAGGGCGCTGCAAAAAAAACAAAGCACGGCTTTTTGCAGCGCTACCAAGGGCTGGACGGTTGATGAACAAAACTTTGAGCTGATGTTGGTGCCACTGAATCTCCTGCCAAGCGAAGTTGTCACAAGGGCCATTTGGGCGAATCACAGGAAGGAGCTTTGGGTGATTTCGTAACATGAGGTTGCGGCAAAACTTCTGGTCTATGGTTCCACTTGGGAAGCACATGGAAAGCACGCCAACTTGTGAGTGAAACTCACCGTGGCGCACATCTGTGAGTTGGATGGTTCTGGACATTAATTGGCCAAGTGAGGACCTTTTTGCCCTTATCGGGGTTGTGTTCAGTCGCAGAACATGGTTTAGGGGATCAGCCGAGTGGCTAGGGACTCTTTGCTGTAGAAAACGGGTTTCTGCCCGTCCACAGATTCGCCCTCAACAGGGCTGGATCCACAGATTCGCCACATCTAAACCGTAGATCGGGCGGGGGGTCGACTGGTTGCTGATTGGATAACTCTGAGCAGCCGTGGGTCCATCTCTTGAGCCCAGCTGTAAAGCGCCAGACCCCCGCAAACCCTTCTAGCTGAAGGGGACACTAAATCGGGCCCTACCAGACAAATTCTGAGCACCCTTCTAAGAAGGTTCTTGGGTGTTGTCCCTATAGAGTTGCTGACCATTCGAATGTGAACCCCCATCTCAGCAGGGCGAGGGACGGCAATCGAATCGGCTCTATTTTTGTTTCAGTCATGCGGCACGTTTCGGAGCAAACCTGTAATCCCCTCAAAGGGCCTGCTTGTACACATGTCTTTGCAGAATAGGGCCCAACAGACCCGGGAAAATGAGGCATTTGAAAGGAATGATGGGTGAAGAGAAGGGCCCTTACAAACACGGGGTCTTGGATTTCCTTCGGATAGGCAATGCGGGTCTACACCTAGAATTGGGTAGCACCTCCGAGACCCGTCAGGATGCACAGCCATTTTGAATATTACCCTTCGTAGGGTTGGTTTAAAGGGGAGCCAACCGGAAAGCCCACTCATTTGGGGGGATCCAACATTAGCCTTTTAGCTTCTTAGTGTTTGGTGGTAGTTTCCATTACCCCACTAAAAGTTAGTCACTTTTCGCCCTAGGGGTTTCGATAGCGCACCGCTCGGGCCACAAGATGTTTGTAAAGTTAGTCACTTTTAGCGGGGGATCTGAGGGCAGCCCAGGTAACGCACATGTGTGTGAACCTTAATGGGTCCCGGACCCTGTGGTGGACATCAGAATTTGGTGGGGATGAATTTGTCCACTACTCACTTTTGAGGCTCCAACTCTGAAAATTCAATGGGTAGCCCAGAAAGCTTTGTAATCAATGGGTTCCTGGCAGGTGCTGGAGGAGGCCAAACGCAAGGTGGCGATGCTGGAGCAGCAAACCGGCGAGGCGCATGCGGTGAATCGGGATCGGAATCTCCGCGGCATGGGATCGCTATGTACCCTCTCTCCAACTAACATACCACCTCACAGAGGGTCGCTTCAAGAGGAAACTGATCTTCCAGGTACTCCCGCAGGTGCTATGTTAGTGGGAGGGAGGGTATCAGATTCGGAGTTCCCAAAGTGGCTTTTCCCTTTGGTTTCCCTCAGTGCAGAAGTACCCTCAAGACATCCCAAGCAAAATGGGACGGGTTCGCCCGGGCCAGCCGCTCTGGAATTAGGGCGATTCCCTGGAGCTTCATACCCTTTATATACGTTGGCCCACCTTTCACATCCACTAGCCATTCAGTGATCTCGTGAGAACATACCCAGGCCCCCCACAAGTGCCCTTTTACCCTTTTTTTGGGGGAGGGTTCCCCTACTAAAATAGACCACAGAAAAGAGGGTACCCTTTTTCTAACCTCTCTACTGGAGGACCTAGGCCGAGTTCTCAGCTTGTTGGAATGCTCCATGAGCTGTATCCCTCAACGCAGTTCAGGGCAGAGCGGCAGCCCATGTCTCAGGTGCTTGGCCTGAAAGTTGGTCGAGCCGCAGGGCGAGATTTGTTGGCTTCTGGAAACCAGTTGGTTTGCATATCTGCAGTTTCTCAGGTATGTACTGAAATTGTCGAGTAGTCTATGGTTAAGTTGGGGGCTCGAAGGGCTCTGTTCAATGTCAAGCGCAAAAAGCTAGGGGACTCACTCTGCCCATGTGCATCACGGGCAGCCTTTGCATAGGCGGGGTGGAGTACCCTTGCTAAGGGGACTTGAACATTGTCTCGACTTGATTTTTCATTGGGGCTGGGGGAAAAAAAGGGAGGGGGAGGGAGCCCATCAAAAACCCTTATTAAGCCCTTGTTTAGGCCTTATTTAGGGCTTATTTGGGCTCCCTCCCCCCTCCTCCCCAGCCCCCATAATGATTGCTCGTTGGTACCGCGTTGAACCGCTTCACCTTTTTGGATCATGACCTTCTCCCCACTTAGCAACAGTTGAGCTTTCTGTAGCGGCCCAAGACCTCCGGAGACGACTCAGCTCAGAAGGTTCTGGAGGTGGATGCGTTGGATGACCTCAATTTCCATAGGGTGGTGTGGTGCAACTGTTCGTGATGCCCTGCCCGCTGATTCGATTCACCTAGGTAACCGCGGGTTGCTTTTTGTTCATTGACAAGGTCACTAGAAGTCATGGGGATGGGCATCTCCACATCGCAAAGAAGAAGAAACGGGAGGAGGTCTCCAAAAGTTGCCGCTTCGTTTCTCCCGAATTCCAGCTACCAGTAGCCAGCCATTTTCCTTCTGATGTTGTTTACGTGTGGTGTAAAACCGTGGTCACCTACAATTTTGTGTGACGTGTGGTAAGCGGATTTTGCAACCGAAAACGCGAAATCCGCGAAAACCACGAAAACCACGAAAACGGCAGAAAACGTGAAAACCGCGAAAACTGCGGGGATTTAAAAAAAAAAAAAAAAGAAAACGGATGCAAACGGCGAAAGCCGCGACAACCGCGAAAACGGCAAAAACAAAAACGCGAAAACCGCGAAAACTGTGAACGCGTGAAAACCCATGAAAGCGGTGAACACCGTGCAAATGCCAACTTTCGCATGTTTCCTCAATGCCAACTTTCGCGTGACATAAGCCTTTGAAAAGGCGGCAAACTCATCCCATATTTCCATATATCTATGTGTGTATCTATCTATCTATCTATCTACCTACCTACCTACCTTCCTACCTATCTATCTATCTATCTATCTATCTATCTATCTATCTATCTATCTATCTATCTATCTATATGTCTATCTATCTATCTATCTATCTATCTATCTATCTATCTATCTATCTATCTATCTATCTATCTATCTATCTATCTATCTATCTATCTATCTATCTATCTATCTATCTATCTATATCTCTATCTATCTATCTATCTATCTATCGATCTATCTATCTATCTATCTATCTATCTATCTATCTATCGGTCTATCTATCTATCTATCTATCTAGCTAGCTATCTATCTATCTATCTATCTATCTATCTATCTATCTATCTATCTATCTATCTATATATCTATCTATCTATCTATCTATCTATGTATCTATCTATCTATCTATCTATCTATCTATCTATCTATCTATCTATCTACCTATCTATCTATCTATCTATCTATCTATCTATGTATCTATCTATCTATCTATCTATCTATCCATCTATCTCTCTCTATCTATCTATCTATCTATCTATCTATCTATCTATCTATCTATCTATCTATCTATCTATCTATCTATCTATATATCTATCTAGCTATCTATCTATCTATCTATCTATCTATCTATCTATCTATCTATCTATCTATCTATCTTATCTATCTATCTATCTATGTATCCATCTATCTATCTATCGATCTATCTATGTATCTATCTATCTCTACCTATCTATCTACTTATTTATCTACTGATCTATGTATCTATCTATCTATCTATCTATCTATCTATGTATTTATCTATCTATCTATCTATCTAGCTATATCTCTATCTGTATCTCTATCTCTATCCATATCTATCTCCATCTATCTCTATCCATCTATGTGTATCCATCTATGTATCTATCTATCTATCTATGGATTGTATCTATCCTATCAATCCCATTTATTTTATCCAGATAGCATATCTATAAAATCGCTCATACCAGTCCTATTAAACTCATTGTATCTATCGTATCTAGATTGTCCATCTTATCTATCTGATAAATATCATGCGTGTTATCTACCTTGTCTAACATATATACATATATCATATCTAAACTATTGACCTTATCTATCTCACCTACCTCATCTTATCTTATCATATATGGTCTTGCTTTATGTTATCTTAGCCTATCTTATCCTATCGTATCCTACCTTGTCCAGTATTATCCTATCTTATCCTATCTATCCCATGTTGGCCTATCTTACCGTGTCTTACCCTGTCTTAGCCTATCTTATCCTATGTATCGATCGATCTATTTGTCTATATATCTACCTATCTATCTATCTTATCCTGTCTTATCCTACCCTCATCCTGTCTTATCCCATCTAATCCTATTTCCCTATTGTATCCTACCTTATCCTATCGTATTCTATCTTATTCTGTATTAGCCTTACTCTTTTTTAAATATATATTTCACCTTATCCTATCGTATCCTATCTTACCCTATCCTATCTTATCCTATCTTATCCTATCTTATCCTATCTTTTCCTATCTTATCCTATCTTATCCCGTCTTGCCCTCTCTTATCCTATCTGATCCCATGTTATCCCACCTTATCTTGTTTGTAGCTATATGTTCCTACCTTATCCTATCTGTATCGATCTATCTACCAACCTACCCACCTACCCACCCACCTAGCTCATCTATCTATCCTATCTATCCTATTTGTCCTCTCTCTCCGATCGTTCCCATGTATCCCATCGTACCTATCGTATCTATCTTATTCTATTTTATCTATCTGATCTATCTTATGTGTCACGTTGATTTGTTTTTGCTATGTACATTACCTACCTTGTCTTTCTTATAATATGTTTTCCTGTATTAACCGTTCTTAACTTATTGTATCATGTGTTTCTGTTTTATCCCATCATATCCTATCTTATCCTGCCTTCCCCTATCTTACCATATCTTGTATATCGCCCTATCTGATCCTATCTGTCTATCTATCTATCTATCTATCTATTTACCTATTCTATCTATCCTACCTTTTCCAAATTTCCTGTTTATCTCATCGTGTGTAGCTTACGAATCGTTTCTAGCTTATCTATCGGATGTATCGTATGTCTTATCTACCTTATCTACCTTATCTATCATGTCTATCCAATTTTACTACCGTGTCTACCTTACCTACCTTTATAGTATCCTGTCTTAGCTTCCGTAGCGTATATTATCCTACAATATGGTATCTTATCATGTCCTGTTCTAACTTATCCTACCTTACCCCATGCTGGCCCTATCTTACCGTGCCTTATCCTATATCATCCTGTTGTAGCGTATCTTATCCTATGTATAAATCTATCTAGCTATCTATTTATCCACATCACTATATTATATATACGTATAATCATTTGTTAGCTTTTTTATCCTGCCATATCCTGTCTTATGCTGTCTTATCCTGTCTTATCCTACCTTACCCTATATTCTCCTGACTTATCCTAGCGTATACTACCTTATCCTATGTATCGATCTATCGATCTATCTATCTATCTATCGATTTTATCCTCTGTATCTATCTGCATATCCATCTATCTATATATCTATCTATCTATCTATCGATCGATCTATATATCTATCTATCTATGTACCTAAACGCCTACCTATCTATCCCATCTATCATATCTATCATACATATCATATCTATCATATTTATCCTATCTTTCCTGTTTGTCCTGTCTGTCGCATCGTATCTATCTCACTACCTTGTTCCATCTTGTCTACCTGATCTATCTTATATGCCTTATCTAAGTTGACTATCATACCTATCACATCTATACTATCTACTTTATATATCTTGCCTACCTGATCTTAGCATTATCATGCATTGTCCTGTCTTATCTCATTTGAACCTATCTTGTTCTATCTTATCTTGTGTCCTGTCTTATCCTATTTTCTCCCATGTTGTCCTATCTTACCGTGCTATGTACCTATCGATTTATCTGTCTATCTATGTATCTAATCTAATCTAATCTAATGTATCTATCTATCTATCTATCTATCTACCTACCTATACCTTATGTCTCTGACCGCTGGGGCTCAAAGCACAAGGCCATTAAGCATACTAACGACGGACACTTGTAGCGATCACCTGCGAAGACCGCGAAACTGCGAAAACTGCGAAAACCCGAACATCGTGAAATCCACGAACGCACCAAAACAAAAAACACGCGAAACGCAAGCATGGGAGAACGGTGAAAACGCGCAAGCTTCAAGGAAAAAAGCGAAAGCCACGAGGGCCAGCAACGGAGTTGTCTGGTTTTCTCGGTTTTCTCGGTTTTCCGGTTTTCCCGTTTTCCGGGTTTGCCCGGTTTTCCTCGGTTCTCTCGGTTTTGTCGGTTTTCTCAGTTTTCCGGTTTTCCGGTTTTCTTGGTTTTTGTCGGTTTTCCGGTTTTTTCGCGCGAGTCCGGTTAGCTCCGTGTCGCTTAAAACGACTGCTTAGCACAAATAGATGGAGTCACCCATACAGCAGCTAACCAGCCGATGTCATTCTGGTGGGCATTTTTTTTGTTGGGAACCTGCCTACTTAAATTGTTTGGTTTATGTTATGATATGCAAACAATTTGGTGAGGATTACAATCCTTGGTTAGCTATGCAGGCAAATGGGCTCACTGGGTCTGGTTGAGGATAAGGGCAAGCCCTTTAACGCTCCCTAAGAAACCTTAGGAACCCAAAAACAACCTTAAGCTTCTGCGAGCTCCCCCGAAAGGAAGATACATATAACGGACCCAGCTGCTCCATTGCAGGAGATCGAGAAGATGCTGGTGCACATCAAGGCCATGATGGACAAGGCCAAGCGGTTTTTCGGGAGGGGCTGGCGTGTATCCAAGCGACCCTGGTTGCGGACGGCGGGATTTTAGGTTGCCACTGTTTTTTTTTTGTGATACAGCTTGAGAAGAGGGGTTACAGCAAGCTCACCATCGAGTCCTTGACTTGGATCCCTTGATCGAGGTTTGCAGAAACGGTTTCAAGCTAAGTCCTGGTTCGGGCAAATGTGCTTTGCCCCGTGGATGTTTATTATTACTTTCTGCAGGCAGTGTTTTCCCAATTTTAGCTTTGCCCAAAAGTTGTCTGCCCTGGGAACTTGTTTTGACCTTCAGCCTTTAAGTCTTATGGGAACATGCACCTTGGACCAACCCAGATTGCCACCATGAACCGCAAAATTTCAGGAGATGCCATAGGTGATTGTGTCCACCCACCAGTTGAGGGTGTTCCATCCATTCTCCTTCGTAGCCAGATGTTGTGTTGATGCACAATAGGCACCAGTTGGTAGGTGTCGTTTCTCCTGTCGCCTTTGGCCAGAGTACGGATGACTGTGAGCTATTCAATCTGTGCCCGTGGCTCCGGAAGCTCTGGAACAGCTCGGGAAAGAGCAAGGCCGAGCGGAGCTCCGAAGGGAGCTCCGCCTGTGGGGCTGTTGGCGGGCAGCTTGCCCTTCGCCTTTGGTTGTGCCTTCGCAAAGCTGCGACTTTGGTTAGGTGTGATAAACCTGGCTCATTTGAGGCTGTGAATGCAGCGAGTCATGGTTGGGGGGATACACTTAATGGGGGTCGAACCTGGGGAATTCTTACTATGGTCCAAAGTCCTTGTTAACCAATTGGATGATTGCAATGGGTCAAAAGCCCGTACCCCCAGTGAACATCCCAATCCCCACTAAAATAGGTTCTAAAATGGGTGGTGAATTCACCTACCCCAAAATGGGATCCCATTGGCTTTGACCCACAGCCATGCTGTGGATGGACAAAATCCTGCACCACCTAAGAAACCGAATGATGATTGACCTGTAAATACCAACAAACGTTATGGTGTCCCTTTTGTTTCAAAGTGGTGCGAACGGATTTTGTCCATCCACGTATAACCCCATTCTTGTCATGGCTGAATTCTTTCTGCCCGGTTTCACCGCGTGCTTTCGCGAAGCCGCGAAAAACCGAGGCGGCGATGGCGGCGGAAGAGGCGCGGATCCAAGCGCGAGCAGTGGCCGCGCAGGCGCGGGGCCTTTACAAAGGGGGGATGTGCCAAGGCATTTCTGGTTTCCCGAAAAGGGTTTGCCATTTGGAGACCAAACACAAGAACACCCTGGTTTCAGAGGTAGAGGAAGTTGCTCCGTTCTTGGCAAGCTTATCTTTGGTTCTTTTCACCCAGTTGCCCGGTGGTGCCCTTTTTTTCCTCTTGTTGGGCAATGGTTTCCCTTTAAACTCATCCAACCAAAAAAGGGTGCCCTTTTTTGCCCATGGCCACTGGGCATCTGAGTTGGTGCTTGTAAAGGGAAGACCAAAGGAAGTCCATCCATGTTTCTAGGCGCAACTTCTATGTCCCTTCTTTCCAGGGACCCGAATCTTTTCAGGAAACCATCAACAACCCACAAAAAAACAGCCGGTTTTTTAAAGGAACGATGGTTGAAAAGAATGGGGAATCAACCCCTCAGAATGCTGGGTAAGCAACTCACTTCCCGAGCTCCGTTTCGAACTTTAGTGACTTTTTCGGCTTGGACCATTTTGATGATAAACCAAGATTGGACTTTTTGGGGGCCATCCACTCGTAACGTCAGTACACTTCAGCCTTGGAGTCCGCGAAATTCACAGAATTGAAGCAAGCATTGCGGCAAGTTCGGGGGGTGGGGGGGTGGGATGGAACTTGTTGTGATAGCCTTGGAGAAGGAGTTCCCGTGAGAAAGTAGTCATGGCATTGACCGATCGTATCACAGATGTTGGGTGTTGTTCCACAACCATGTCCATAACCCTTGGCCGTTCCAGGAGGTTATGCTGCCTGGTTTCAAGGGGGTTGTAGAAGGGTTATATATATATACTATACGGTTGTAGCCATCCTAGGAATCTTGAGCCAAGAGTGACTAGGTGTGGGTTGCTCCTCACTTGTCCTTGCCATCTTTTTCCAGATCCCCAGTGCCCGTTTCCCTTTTGGAAAGGGTTCCCTTTAAAATCAATCAAGCCAAAGGCGCCCTTTTCTTTGCCAGGGCTGCTGAGGCTTGACACGGGGCCACAAATGGGGGTTCATGTGTTGACTTGTGACTCACGAGCCGCAAGCCACTTCAAGTTAAACCGCCTCCTTGTTTCGTGGAGCCAGATTTCGCCAACCCCTTGGCTCCCCTGATGACTTGGGGTTCCTTGAGGGAACCCTTTCTTTCTGCCAATTCAGACTCGTGATGGCTTTCATCACGCAAGGGGTAAACTTCAGATCACCGATCACCCAAGTGGGACCTTCACGATTCACGAGACACGGGAAAAAAGCAAGCACTAAAAGGAAAAACACGCTGGATTCTATTTGGGCAGAGGGGGACACGTGCTGAATATAGTTTGGCTCCTTGGAATCATGGGTGTGTCTCGTTTTTTTTAATGAAGCAACCGGCAAAACGGGAGATCCCTTTGAATTACCATTCGTTTGGACCAGCCTGAAACAGGTACCGTCAAAAGAAGCGCAGCACCCACATGTTCGAGCATCCCTTGTTCAAGACGGCTTCTTGCATTTTCCACCTGAACATGAACCCCCCCAAACACAAAAACAACATGAGAGCAACGGCTAACAGGCACAAACACAAGGCAGCACGGCAGCTTCTCACTCTCTGAGTTGGGGTTTCCGACCGTGGCGATCCACTGTGCACCACAGGCCGCCACCGCTGCCGGAGAGGCTGCCAACAAGGCGAACGTCGAGCAAAACTTAGCTCGGGAGTTGCTCAAAACATGGGGTAGATGAAGGTTAAGGGGAATCCCAACTGAACGTCCCCAGAATTAGCTCCCCTTTTTTGTGTGCTTTTTTGGGGTCCTTTTGTTTTCCACTGACCAGGCAAAAACGTTTTTTTTGGCTGGGGTCCTAATTCCAGCCTAGTTAAAAGAGCGAAAATCGGGTTGACAGTGTGTTCATTGGGTTGGGTGCATCGTTTCAATACCGATTGATTTTGAGGTTGACCCGTGTTTCCCTGTTTGGAACCTCTAAAAAGCGGGAGTTTCAATGGCAACCGCCTCCTACGTTTGAAGGGGAAATTCTCAGTGGTTCCCAGCCATCCCCTTAGCTTTTTAGCTTTTTAGCTTTTTAGTGGGAGTTTCCATTTAGCCTGCTACGGGGGATCTCAGGGCAGCCCAGCAAATTGTGTGACCCTGTTGCTCTCTGGGCCTCTGGACTATGCGGAGTCGGCGGGCTTGAAGTTTTGCAAAATTTCCGCGAGGCTCCGTTTGGGAATCCATCTTTCAGGTGTCCCAGGCCCGTGGTGTCCGTTTGGTTTCCTGGCTGCCAGACATAGTGGTTTGCCCTGGGCTTTGGAAATCGAGTTTATGTAAGTCCTTTTGGCAATCCGGTATTTTAGGTTCCGGAACTATAAGCAACATGCACCTTTTCCTTGAGGTAGAGGAAAGGGGGTGCGTCGTGCGCCCGTCCCTTGGCGGGGGAGCCCGTCAAGTCATGCCACTCCATTCCGCCAGGCATCGGCTTATGCGGACGACGCCAAGAAGCAGGTTGCAGCTGCTGCGGAGGCAGCAGACAGTGATTTTGTTTCGAGACTCGATACAGATGATAACCTGAAACTGAGTGTGTTCTAGTTTTAATGGTACCCTTTTTGGTATGGTCTTGAAGGGGAACTCGAGGAAACCCACCAAGTTGTAGTGTCCTCTATTTTGAGTTGGGCCTAGACTTGAGTTCGCAGGGCTTCCCTTACAGCTATGGGCCTTGGACCCCATGAATTTAGGCAGCCAATGACCAATGTAAGGATTTCCATTGTCGAGGTGCCCTGACCATGGCCCACAAAAAGAAACGTTTACCATGGCACCGGTGAGTCTGTTTGTCGAGCTGCTTTCTATTGCTTGCTACCATGTTCAGGGATATGTTTGAAGGGAGCCAGAGGGAAGCCACGCGTTTTAAGGTAGCGCGTAGCCCGACTTCGAGTTGAGAATTGAAAGAGCTCCGATGTGTTCCGCGTAGCGTTCACATAATTTAACCTCTTCTCCAACCCCGACTTGCCCGTGATTTCCTCCAAATAAGGTTCAAATAGGGCATGCGGATCCAGATGTGCAGTGCATCAGATGCTAGAAACCTCGAGGGCATTTCTCTGCGTGTGCTGGGGAATGTACTTGTGGGGATAGGTTCCAAGCGCTTGGAGCTTTAGCAGCGATGGCGCAAGGAAACTCACTTCCTGAGTTCTTGAACTTTAAATTTGTTGAGAAGACCATCTTAGAGGCAAACAAACAGTTTGGACTGGTTTGGCCCATCCACTCAAGAAGTGAGGAAAGGGACCACTTCCATTCACACAACTCAAAGGCCTGGTCTTTTGGAAAGACTTGCGCAGTTGGCAGAAATCTGCAACCTATCCTACCAGGATTTGTGCTTGGCTTTGCAGCCTCCAGACATGAATGCCCTTGTCGTATGTGCGGAGGATCAGTGTTCGCATGCCGGAGGAAGCACTGAGGTGCTGAATGGGCCGTTGCCCACGTTGCTGTTCAAAGCAAAAGCTCCCTCCCTGACTTTGTGCAAATTATACTGATACTTGTTCGAATACCATGTTAGTGGTAGGCAGGCAGTGAAGACTTTTTTGACCCATCCATGAAAGATATCGGATGTGGCGAATGATGTGGTCTTAATTTCCGGTTCATCTCGCTGCGGGACGCAGAACAAGTCTTGTTTGGGAACCTCCAGACCCACTGTCGCTGGGTGTATGATTCGGACAAGATTCAGGAGATGCACAAAAAACACATCTCCAACTGGGGATGCAAACAGAAACCGGCAACAAGCACAACAACTCTTTCAGTTTGTCTCCAGTTTGAGCCGCGGCGACACACAACCCAATTCTACTAACATGGTTATGAACAGGTCCAAGCTTTCCCATAACATGCATGAAGACAGGTGGCAAAAGCCTTTACTCTACCAAAACCCCCAACATGCGTTTTGGGCGCTGCTTGGTGACTGTCCCCAGGACTTTGCCTAGGGGTCGTAGCCAAAGCAAGCACACAACTCGTCAAGTCCTCATATTTGCATCTATGATATCTCTAGGGCTACTTTTCCCATTCTTTCCAGGGATCCTTTTTTTAAAGGAAACCATCAACAACCCAGGGAAACAGATCAGATTGATGGTTGAAAGAGAATGGGGAATCAACCCCTAGAATATCCATATTCACATCAATAACATGGTCATCCAACACTTAGGAGTTGTAGCTGAACATATGCTTGTCTGAGGTGATCACTAGGCCAGGGTTTGGAGGGCGTAGCGGGGTGGGGGTGAAGTAGGCATGAACCACGCGATGCGTCCTGGATGCAAGCGGATTGCCTCTGACACCTGCCAAGTCCAACCCGCAAAACTTCCTCAACTCCACAGGAGGCGAGCCATGCCAACCAAAAGCGGCACCTTGGTGGAAGTTGTGCTGAATTCCTATGGGTTTTAGGTTTGCGCTAGTTCGGTAGCACCAGGTTTGAAAAAATACTCCTGTGTGCCATTGTCAAAAACAACTAAGCACTGTATTTGAAGTTTGTTGGCATGGTCATCAACCCTCTAGTGTTTTTGACACCAATTGTGAGGATTCCTACAAAGGGGGGCATGACCATGGCCCATCGGAGGTGGCGAGTTTGACTCATATGACCAGCGGTCAACATTTGTTGTCGCCATTGAATGAGACTACATTTCTAGGGGTACCTTCCCCATTCTTTCCAGGGATCCTTCTTTTCAGGAAGCCATCAAAAACCCAGGGGAAACAGATCCGGCTTTTGACAAGAACGATGGTTAAAAAATGGGGAATCAACCCCTAGAACATTGGGTACATGCACATTGCCAATAGGAAACGGCGGTTGCTCACCAAAAGTCCCATACGGGTGAACGATCTGAACTGGATGTCAGATGCTACTTTGAATCCACCAATTCTCGCGCTCCTTCTAACACTCGTTGAGCACCTACAGGAGCATTGGAACATAAGCCTCAACGAGCAAAGTGACAGTCTGCCTTTCGCATCTCCAGGCAGCGCAAGGGTCTTCCTTCGAAGAGGTGGGATCTTCCTGGGGACTATTCGGGAGGAGTTCGAGTTTAGCGAAGCATCAGTTTGGTTTTCCCTGTTTTCTTGCTGGTTCGATAGGCAGGGAATGAGACATGGAATGACCCTGACAAAAATAATCCCTTGTGGTGTCCTTTAAGGAAATCCCCTTCCGGTGCATTCCCAACACCCGGACTCGGTCATTCCCTACCTATCCCACCAGCAAGTTCTGGCCGCTCCAGGAAGGAGGACTGAGAAGCTAGTTATAACACGCCTTGCGGCGCCGTTCCCCGTTTCGGGAACACGGGGGGGGTGATTCATGTTGAGACAAACCCAACTGGTTCGCAACCCCACAATTAGATGGTTTGGGGGAGTGGTACACAGAACTGGCAAGGCAGCTCCAGCCAGTTTCTCCATGCATCCGGAAGCGTCAGACCAGCGTCGGAATGGGCAAGCCCTGCAACGTGAAAGGCCCCAGGGGGATCTACGGCCAGCTTATCAATCTTGCGATGCAGTTGGAGTAGATGTTACGAGTCCATACGGTTTCTTTAGCCTTACGCACGATGATTTGCAAGGCCACTGGGTTGCTTAATGTTACTCACTCCCGGAGTTCCTGGACTTTAAAGCTTCTTGGGCTTGGACCATTTTAGTGGTGAACAGACAGTTTGGTTACTTTTCTGGCCCATCCACTCAGGAACTGCGGTCAAGGGGACACATGTCGGATAAGTTTGCAAGGCCTCAAGGGCCTTGCCATGGAATGTAGTCCGTGCCCGGATTTGCTTCGAAATGGTTTTTGCCTCCTCGCTCCTCCTAAACAACCCGAATGGAAATGGCATAGTCATAGTGGCCATATAAACCATGAAAATTCATGCGGAACCACCTCAAGAGTGGTTGGACAAATTCATCCCCACCTAAATGATGTCCACCCGATTCAAATTCACACCCATGTTCTAGGCAAAAAATCGAATGGGCCCTTGTGAATGGACCTAGACATGTTAAACGGGGAAAGCTGAACCATGGCTTTGCTTCAAGGACTCCTTGTCCTTACCCTTCGATCCGGACCCCTAAGGTTCGATTGATCAAGCACCCCGGAGCCCAACTGGAAGCAACCGTCATGGGAGGGGTATGCTCCAAATGGAGGGCTCTTGGAGTGCTCCAGAAGCACTGTGGTACAGCCTGGCGTGCATTCCGCTCGCAGGCGTTTACAGGGGCCGATTTGTCGGATTGGTTCGTTCTGTGGCGCCTACTCACGGCAAAAGCAATTGACGCAAGGACAAGACTAAGGCAGAAGAAAGATTAGTCATGGATCAAAAACTCTCTAGATGTGCCGAACCAACTGCTTGTTTGAAGAACCTCACATGCACTGAAACTTGCATGTATAAAATTACCGAAGTATCCTATCGGAAGCAAACCCACATGCACTGACAAATGTCTGAAGCAATCTTTCGTGGGCCCAATCAGACGCGAACAGTCGAAAGGTGGGAACAACAAAGCCGTCGATCCCCAGGAACAAACCACAAGCAGAGATATATGGGTATGGGTCAAAACCCACCAGGGGACTGCAGGTTTTAGTCTTTGGTTCCATTTACCAGGGTGCCGTTTTGGGTACGAATGTTTGACAACCACAGCAATATGTGCACCAACTATTTAGCCACCGTGATCAAAGGGATAGCAACGGACCTTCCGGGGCCAGGTTCGTGTAACTGAGAAGCAAAGCCGTGACAAACCCGAGCCTTCAAGGCGCGTGCGGCAGCAAGTGGTGCGGCAAAGAAGGCTCGCTGGGAGCGGGTTCCACGGTGGATGATGCGCTGAATGGATGTGTGTCTTGTTTGAATGATGGTACCCCTTTTCGGATGGTGTTAAAGAGGCGATGAGGAAGCCACTTGATTTTTTGGGGAGGGGGATCCCTGACAAAGGACTTGACCGCGTACACAAGGGAAAGGATGAACACAGAGCAAAGACAAACCCAAATGCAGAAGCAAACAAGTTGGAACCTGTATTTTTTCAGGGTTTCGTGGTTGGATGTTGGTTCACTTGCCCTAACCGGCATCCGTACCCGCAGATTGCTCGCAACGATGCGGAAGGGTTGCTATGCTCGAGACATCTCGAGACCCTGATGTTTTCAATTGCACATGTGGGGGTTGATCAATATTCCTTGCCACAAAATGACCATGGCTAACTTTTGGAGCGTCATCTTTTTGGGTGGTTTTCCCAATGGTCACCCTGTAAAGGACCTTTGATCCATTGGGTTGAATTTATTGGGGTTCCACGTTGGGAGGGTATCGTAAAATGTCATGTATTCGGCTTCACCTAGACACCTTCACGGAGTGTTTGGTCAGTGATTGTTTTCAGTGGGGGCCCTCCAACCAACACACATGGAATGCACAGACCCCTTTTGGCAATGAGAGTTCTCTTGGAATGCAGAGTTTGCAGGCTTCTTGTTTTGCATACGAAACTTAACGTTTTGGCCACTCACTTCGGACATCCCTTCTTGTGCTTATTCTCAGAAACGCACTTAGGGT